CGCCCCGCAGGCCCCGCCCCGCCCCGCAGGCCCCGCCCTCTCCCCGCCCCCGGCGCGGCGCGCAGTGCGGCTGCGCCAGCGTCTGAGGCTCTGAGGCCCGGGCGCCGCGGCTCTTTTGTTTCTGCGCCGGGTCGAGCCCGGGCCCTCGTTGGAGCTGGAGTCGGAGTCGGAGTCGGATCCGGATTCGGATTAGCAGTCCGGGGAGAGTGCCGCGGCGCAGACGCCACAGGGAGCGCGACCCTCGGACCCCGCCTGGCCCGCGGGGCTGGGACCCGGCCCCGGCCTGCCCGATGGGGCGCGCGGCCCCGGAGATGCGCCCGCGCCCCCGGCCCCGCGCCCCCGGCCCGCCCGCCGCGGCCCGCGCCTCCGCCTGAGCCCCTCGCGCCCCGGCCCGCCGCCCCCCGCCCCGCGCCACCAGCCCGCCCGCGCCATGGAGCCCGGCCGCGGCGGCACCGAGACCGTGGGCAAGTTCGAGTTCTCCCGCAAGGACCTGATCGGCCACGGCGCCTTCGCGGTGGTCTTCAAGGGCCGCCACCGCGAGGTGAGGCCCCCGTCCGGCCCGGAAGAGCCCCCACCCAGGATCTCCTGTCCCGGACCCCTGCTCCGCGATTCCCCGCCTGTCCTGGGAGCCCCGCTCGACCTTCCAGGCCGACCCCCACTCCAGGGTCCCCACCCCGGGTCCCCCAGCCCGAATTTCCAGTCCGTACCCCCGCCCCTGGACACGCCGCACCCCGAGATCCCCAGTCTGGCTTTCCAGCCCATACCCCCGCCCCGAGATCCGCTGCCAGGCTTTCCAGGCCGACTCCCTACTCAGGACCCCCTGCCTGACTGTGCAGGCCAGGTCCCCACCCTGAGACTCCCAGCCCGGCGTTCTTGTGCAAATCCCCACCCCAGGACAGCCCGCGCCCAGTCCCCCAGCCCGGCTTTCCAGGCTGGATCCCTATCCCAGGACCCCCCAGCCCGATGCTCAACCTTGCTCCTCCCTCGGCCTTCCAGTCCCGTGACCCCCAACCAAGATCATCTTAGGGCCCCACCAGTGTGAGCTGGGGTCTGGGGAAGCCTCGAGGGGCAGCCTTGGCTGAAGGGGCATATTTGGCTTTCAGAAGCACGATCTGGAGGTCGCTGTCAAGTGCATTAACAAGAAGAACCTCGCCAAGTCTCAGACGCTGCTGGGGAAGGAAATCAAGATCCTGAAGGTGAGCTGGTGCTGGGGGAGGGGCGGGGGCAGGGGCGAGCTCCCCTCCCCACACTGATAAGAAACTTGGGTTTCTGCCCTAGGAACTGAAACATGAAAACATCGTGGCCCTGTACGACTTCCAGGTAAGGTTCCTGGGCTGCTGTTTGCTGGGACGGGGCTGGGGGACTGGCCCCAGGTGCTGGGTACCCTGGTCAACACTGGTGTTGAGCCTGACCAGGCTGGGGTCTGCTGGGCCCCTGGAGACCCCACCCTGGTTCCAGGCCTGGGCTGGGCTGGCTGTTGCAGTGGCTTCTCCAGCTGTGTGACTGAGGAGGGGGTGTCTGGGCCGCAGGGCGGACTGAGGGCCGGGCATCTCCTCCCCCGCACTGCACCGGGGCGCCAGCCCTTGGGGCCTGCCTGAGTCCCCGGCAGGCCCGGGCAGCACTGCTAGCCTGGCCCACCTGTCTGGGCCGTGTGTTTGTTGACATTGCTTCTGTGGCTGGCATTGGCCAGCCTCTCTCTGCGTCAGACGGGGTGGGGGAGGGGCCGCCGGAGATTCCTGCTCGCTGGCAGTCAGGCCTGGCCTGGGTGTAGTGGGCTGCTGCTGGCTGGCCAAGGAGGTGACCTCAGGCCCAGCTGGCCCCAGGATGCAGGCGGTGGGACCAGCTGGCTTTGGTGCTGCCCGTATGCCCTGGAACCCAGGGCTGGCCCGGCTGGGACTGTGGGAGCCGGGACGCTGGACTGGGAACCTCCCACCCGCCAAAGTGCTGACTAATGGTTCTGTGACCTGTTTACCGAGCCCAGGGCCCAGCCCCTGGCTGAGGGAAGGGCTGGCCGGCCAGCCGTGTTTTGGTGGCTTCCTCCCTCTGCGTGGCAGGGCTTTGCTGTGGCCTTGGGGACCGTCACAAGGTGCCGGGTGGGGAGGGCCTAGGCCAGTGTGACAGGGAGTACCTGGAAACCCAGGCACAGCATATGCTGGGGCTGCGCCGCCCCTCCTGCTCCTTTTCTGCCCTCTTCCCACCCCTTTTGTCCGTGCTTTCCTCCCTCCTTTCCGCCGCTCTTCATCCTCCCCACGTTTGGAAGCCTCCTGCCTGAGCCACAGCCTGGACGTGCGTCACGGCTCTGGGAGCCAGCAAGGAGTGGACAGCTGTCCCTGGCCAGGCAGCGACTCCGAGAGGCTACCCCCAACCTCCGGACTACGCTGCCTGCTGCTCCCCACCCCCAGGCTCCCCAGGTCCAGTCCCGGGCGTCTCCAGGCGGGGGCCCATCACTGTCCACACGGCCCCCACAGACCCACGGCCCGTTCTTCCCATCGGCTGCACACACCTGGTCATGGGCATCTGCCACTTCCTCCAGTGCTGACAGCATTGCGGCTTCCTCTACTCTGGAAGCTCTTAAAGACACCGGCTGCAGGCGCTCCGGGCTCCTGCTCCAGTGCCTGCCCTTGCCCCACAGGCGCGGGATTGCTGCCCTGTGGCTATGAGGCTGTGTTTGAGGCAGGCACCCAAACCTAGAAAATACGAATTGGGTTTTTGTTTTTTGAGATGGAATCTCGTTCTGTAGCCCGGGCTGGAGTGCAGTGGCGCAGTCTCAGCTCACTGCAACCTCCGTCTCCCGGGTCCCGGTTCAAGCAGTTCTCCTACCTCAGCCTCCCAAGTAGCTGGGATTACAGGCACAAACCACCACAGCCAGCTAATTTTTGTATTTTTTTTTTTTTTTTTTTTTTTTTTTTTTTTTTGAGACGGAGTTTCGCTCTTGTTACCCAGGCTGGAGTGCAATGGCGCGATCTCGGCTCACCGCAACCTCCGTCTCCTGGGTTCAGGCAATTCTCCTGCCTCAGCCTCCTGAGTAGCTGGGATTACAGGCACGCGCCACCATGCCCAGCTAATTTTTTGTATTTTTAGTAGAGACGGGGTTTCACCATATTGACCAGCATGGTCTCGATCTCTTGACCTCGTGATCCACCCGCCTCGGCCTCCCAAAGTGCTGGGATTACAGGCTTGAGCCACCGCGCCCGGCCCAATTTTTGTATTTTTTAAGTGCAGATGGGGTTTCACCATATTGACCAGCATGGTCTCGATCTCTTGACCTCGTGATCCACCCGCCTCGGCCTCCCAAAGTGCTGGGATTACAGGCTTGAGCCACCGCGCCCGGCCCAATTTTTGTATTTTTTAAGTGCAGATGGGGTTTCACCATGTTGGTCAGTCTGGTCTCGAACTCCTGACCTTGTGATCCACCCGCTTCGGCCTCCCGAAGTGCTAGGATTACAGGCGTGAGCTACCGTGCCCGGCCAAGAATTGGTTTTTAAAAATGCGTAATGAACAATTTGGTTGATAAAAGAAAATCCACAAACATCACTGGAGGGAGCGGGGTGAAGGTGACAGCCCAGCCCTGCCCAATGGAGTCTGGATGGAGTCCCGCTGTCCTCCACGCTCAGGCACCTGCCTTAGTTGTTTCTGGGCCACGGGACAACCGTCCTTACAAGGCGACGTGTCCAACTGTGTCCTGCTGCACCCGTCCCACTCTTTGTGCCGTGAATTTTGTCACTTGAGTAAAGCTTGCTCTCCATCCAGCCTGGGTGACTGACCGGTGCCCTGTCCCTAAGAGCACAGCTCGGGGAGTGTTCTGTGCTGCCTCAGTCCACATCAGAACTGACCCCTCGGCCAGGCGCAGTGGATCGCACCTGTGACCACAGCACTTTGGGAAGCCAAGACAGACCAGCCTGGGCAACATAGCAAGGCCTGCCTTCTCTAAGAAAAGGAAAAATGAGCCAGGCGTGGTGGCATGTCTCAACTGCTCAGAAGGCTGTGGGAGGATTGATTGAGCCCAGGAGTTTGAGGCTGCAGTGAGCCGTGATTGTGCCACTGCACTCCAGTCTAGGCAGCAGAGTGTGACCCTGTCTCAAAAAATAAACCTCAAAGTTTAGTTTATTCTTCTCCATTAAGCACAGTGGTTCAGAGCCAGGCCGCCACTGGTGAGGGGCCCAGCGCTGGCTGCCACGCTGGGTTTGCGGCTTCTTGGCTTTGCGGCCCTATTTCTTCCTCTGTGAAGGGTTGTAAGAGAGCGCTCCCTGGTTGTGGGAACCGTGGTGGGGTGCTAGCCGCTGTGCTGATGAGGGCTGCGGGCTGATTTCCAGCCATGGGCTGCCTGTTGCCCGAGATCCCGTGACTGCCTTCACCACGGCCCTGCAGGTGGGACGTGAGGTTGTGTGGGAAGCTGCTACGTCCGTGTGGTTGTGACAAGATCCCTAGAAGTAGAATCTTTGGGCAGGAGGGATGCTTGCTTTTGAGTAGCTGTTGCCATATGGCCCTCCAGAGAGGCAGTGCCAGCGATCTCAGCCGGCCTTCCGGCACCTCCCAGGAAGGTGGCCCTTAGGCGCTTCCATCGAGGCCCACGTGAGACGTGGAAAATGACGTCTCTTACGGTTTTGTTTTTCATTGATGATAAATGAACTTTCACTATTTGAGCAACAGAATGTTAGAAATACCACCTGTTGCTGAGTGGGTGGCTCACGCCTGTAATCCCAGCACTTTGGGAGGCCAAGGCAGGTGGATCATGAAGTCAGGAGTTCAAGACCATCCTGGACAATGTGATGAAAGCCTGTTTCTACTAAAAATGCAAAAATAAACTGAGCGTGGTGGCACATACCTGTAATCCCAGGTACTCAGGAGGCTGAGACAGGAGAATCACTTGAACCGGGGAGTTGGAGGTTGCAGTGAGCTGAGAATGTGCCAGTGCAGTCCAGCCTGGTGACCAAGCAAGACTCCCATCAAAAAAAAAAATCTGTCCTTTGTCCAGTGTATTTCTTTTTTTTTTTGAGATGAAGTCTGACTGTTGCCCAGGCTGGAGTGCAGTGGCATGTTCTTGGCTCACTGCAACCTCCACCTCCTGGGTTCAAGCATTTCTCCTGAGTAGCTGGGACTACAGGCGTGCACCACCATGTCCGGCTAATTTTTTTACTTTTAGTAGAGATGGGATTTCACCATGTTGGTCTGACTCGTCTTGAACTCCTGACCTTGTGATCCACCTGCCTCTGCTTCCCAAAGTGCTGGGATTACAGGACTGAGTCGCCATGCCCGGCCGGAGCTTTGCTCTTGTCACCCAGGCTGGAGTGCAATGGCGTGATCTTGGCTCACTGCAACCTCTGCCTCCCGGGCTCAAGCGATTATCCTGCCTCAGTCTCCTGAGTAGCTAGGATTATAGGTGACCATGACCATGCCCAGCTAATTTTTGTATTTTTTGTTTTTGTTTTTGAGACAGAGTTTCACTCTTGTTACCCAGGCTGGAGTGCAATGGCGCGATCTCGGCCTCCTGGGTTCAGGCAATTCTCCTGCCTCAGCCTCCTGAGTAGCTGGGATTACAGGCACGCGCCACCATGCCCAGCTAATTTTTTGTATTTTTAGTAGAGACAG